ATGTATTGCATGTGCCCTTAGTTAGGGGCTGGCACACTTAGATGTGCTTGTGCTTGGTTTTGACCTTGAGCTTGGCCTCCTCCAGATGTAACTCTTGTCTTTTGTCAGGAGGCATCGTAGCCCCTGTTTCTGTAAATTCTTGTCTCCAGAAAAGCGTGGTTCTTGGATATCTAATTCCTGCAACCGGATGGAGTGTACATACTCGATATTCAAGAAGCGTTTGGACAATGCTTTTGGATATATGGTTTAACTTTTAGGTTGCCCCATGTGGAGTCAGGAATTGAACTCGATCCTCGTGTGTCCCTTCCAGCTCAGGAGAACAACTCTGTGGGTCTCATTTCTTACCAGCTCTTCTAGACTTCTCAATAGCTTCCTTACAGGCTTTTGGAATACATTCGCTCTTGAGATAAAACATAAAATAATACTGTTTAAAAACAACCTCTGAACAGTTTCTCACCATTGTGCATCCATGTTATTTATTTGGACTTAGAGCTTTTAGGGCATTTGGAATCTTTTCATGTAGCTCATGGCTTCTTTGTAATACCTGATTTTTTCTTCTGTTATGGTCCATCTGTTTTATTGATGGCTATCTGGTCCCACAGTGAAGCTGTTTTTCTACCCAGGTTCTGCTGGCTTGCCTTTTCCATCTGTCTCTTGATCGCAGTGCTGCTTTTGTGGCTTCATAAATCTGTTCCCTTCTATCAATACCTGGGTTTTGTTTGCAGTGGTAAGAGTGGAGCTCAGCTGAGGAGGGAAACTCCTCTCTACTCCCCCCCTCCCCTGCCCCATTTGTACAGAATCAATTTTTCCAAATAATGTATCTGCAGCAGAACCTTGGTTTATCCAGAGGATCGTTAATGTTAACCCTTTTTTTTTTTCCTAAAGGCTTTGAACAAATGGACTTTATGTATGCAGTGATAGATAAGTAACTCTGCGCAGCTGGAATTCACATAAGCAGAAATGCAATGATTTCTACAAACTCCAACTGATTGCTACAATGGTCTTCATATCAGTGTAGCTGGGAACTTGAAAACAGGCGTTGAAAAACTGTGTCAGATCACTGTTGAGTGTAGGTAACACTCTTCACCTTACCTGCTGAAGTTAAAATAAATTTCTGCAGGATTTTCTGTTCCTGAGGTTCTGTGTGTACTGTAATTTGCTTTACCAATATATAGTATTCACGCTTGTGTTCTGCTTTTTATGCCAGCTAGCTAAGTGTTCTTTAGCGTTTTTTTAACACCTAGCAGGAATTTTTCAGAGTATCGCTTTGTACTGCTCGTCGCAAAAAAACTAGTATAAAAATGCATTAGATAGATTTACGTATGAATCAGCTCACTTTTAGTTTGTTTTTGGCTTCCCTACTGGATCTTCCATTCTCAGCAGTCAAAGGAGGCAGCTGAGAATTTTTGTAATATTAATGCTGATAGAAGAAGCTGTTGCTGGAGTAGGAGAAACTTCTGGTGATCTGTCCAGATCGCTATTGCTAAGCTGTAAGTAGGAAACAGGCGCAGTCTTGTACTCTATGATGCTGCTCCTTAGCGAGCTGCCCAGCACATAAAATCTCCATCCTGCTGGCACTTCAGTCAGTCACTGCAGTGTCAGCAAAGCAGGTGAAGAAAAGAGATTTGCCTCGAGACGTGGGCTCTGGGCTTTTATTTGAAGCACCTCCCCTCCTCAAAAAAAAACCCAAACAACCCCCCAAACAGAACAAAAAACCCCAAATCCCCACTAACAGCATTACAAATGCAGCATGCACCAACCCACCCACCCACCCACTGTGATGAGGGTTTGTAGTACTGTGTTTTGTGATAAATCCAGTTCACTTGATGTCAAACTGCCTTTTTTTCAATTCCTGTCTTGGAGTGTAATGATTAAAGCTAATACACACTAATTGCAAAATTGAGGATTCTGTTTCAGTAAGTAGCCTTTCTGAAGTCTAATTGTTTTCTGTTTGCTTTTAGCTCAGGAGCCTCGATCTAACGCTATGAAGAAGTGTTTAATCGACCTGTCATTGTCTAGTTTAGGAAAAGGACACCTTAACAAAGCAGCTTTTATTCCTTTTTTACTTGGTAGCCCTTAGTATTGTTTGATATTCTTAGTGAGTTATATTCTTAACAAATTGATTTAAAAAAACCACGGCTAGATAACTTTTGATTACAGAAGAGAAGAATGCTTTCATGCAAAATTGGGGGGGCGGTGTTCATGTCTTATAAAACCCTTATTAGTATTGATATTGAAAGTCACTTTTTACTTCTCTTTTCTCAGAAATACTAATTTTATCACCCATATTGGATAGCTTTTTAAAAAGGGGACTGAAAATTATACTGGAAGCATTTATGTGTTGGACTGATAGCATTTACCGTGCTCTATATGATGGAACCACTGTCATCTTGCAAGACTAGTTTTTCTGATGAAAAGTTCTACCACGTCTGACAGTAAATGGGGATTTTTGTGAGGGATCCCTGTCTTATTTGCTGCAGGGGCTTGCAAGGCTGCAAGTGAAAACCGGGAAGATTTAAGGAAGATCTTGTAGTTACAGAGTTTGAATGCTTACCCAAAAGTCTTAGTGATTTGAAGGATTTTGTCAAGTGATTGAAATAAAGTCTTTGCAAATGGTGTCTCTTTGTGTTCAGAAGTCTCGGGCCAAGCATCCGGATGACTGCCAGAGGTGTTGAATACTTAGTAGCTGGAGGCTGTGACAGATGAATTGTGTAGTGCTGTGTATCCTGGAAAATCAGGCTCCAGCTGAGCTCTCGACAGTCCTGTGTTTGTTAGCTACTTGCTACTAGGGGGACACTTCTCACCCCGGTGTCTCTGGAGTCCCAGGATCATAGGTCAGGGAGGATGTCATTTGTTGTTCTAGTGCGAAGCACTCTAGAGGACAGGGTAGATAAGCGCTGATGTGCATGCTTGAACTGCATGGGATAGTACAAAACAGGGGACAGCTGCTTCTCTGCTATTTTTGTGTGTACTGAAAGGGAAGTGAAGAAAAATAGTATGTTATGATCTGTTTTTTTCTGGAAGCTTCTGTGGGTGTTGAAAGAAGAAGATAAAGTTTCTTTGAAATCTGTGTCGCCAGCCAGTGCTTTCTGACAGTTCAGCTGTTTAGCTTAAATGATGGCACTGATCACAAATATATTTTTGTCTTTGAGGTATAGAAAAAAAGTACTTTAAAATCAGAACAGGAAACTTCATAGCTGGCTCAGAACAGGACATTAAATGAAGTAGATCTGCTCTGAGCATATACGAAGATAAATATGCAGGTGGAACATGAGGAAGGAAGAGTAGGGATTTTTCTCTGAGTAGTCCATTGTTTCTAGGAGTGGCTTTTCTAAATTCAAAAATACTCCCTCCCTTTGGATTTTATGAAAATCCAGGGGTCAAATGAGAAAAAAAAAATAAATTACTGATTATTTACCTGCTTCTTTCTTACTAAATTTTGTGTTTAACTTATGGAGGCATAAAAGAAAGTAAGACTGGTCAAACCAGAAGAGACCAAGAGTCAGTCTAACTTAGATGTCTGGCAATGGCTGGAAATAAAATGAAAAGAACAGCAAGTAGGAGGTGTACCTCTCAAGTGTGCCTTCCTGACTCCTGTTGCTTTGTGGCTTCAGGACCTCTGAGGCAGTGTTTACAACTGGGCTTTTAACAGTGATTATGTATCTTTTATTTCATTAGGTTTTGATAGTCTTCTGGTAATCATTTATACTCCTAGCAAATGAAAGCATCTTGGACAATGAGTTCTGAATCTGGCTTAAATGTAGTCTTACCGGCTTTCTTGTTCATTCTGAACTATTTTCCAGTCTGACTTCCTGATTTAGTATGTCTTGTTAAATTTTATGTAGCTTGTACCTTGATGTACCCGTGGGCTAGTAAACAGTTTGGTAAGCACTACTTTAGAGGAATACTGTTTTCATGTTGCTCCTTGTACTATGCACCTTTCATCCTTTCACTCTGACAGCTGTGGAAGAAAGAGTGATTGATCCATTTTCTCTCTCAGTAAAAACTGGAGATGGATCACAGAATAACCTTTGCTACAATGAAGAGAGGAACACTTACTATTCCTGGTCTTGTGTGTATGGGAAACATCTCAATTTTTGATTTCTTTTCAGTTTCTTTTTCCTTCTTAGGATTAAGTACACTTTCACTTTCTGTTTCCATTCATTTCCTTTTCCAGTTGGAGGAAAAAGAAATAATCAAAATTCATATTCTCTTCTGTCTGCAGAGATCTGAATACCAGCAATGCAGCTGGTTAGTTTTGTCAGCCTCTCTCCCAAGAACAGCCATGTGAGAGGGACAGAAATTAATTGTACACTTTAAAATGCCTATTATGTGATTGAAGAATATAAGAGTGCAGGTATAAAAGCTTGAAATATAATTTTTAAATAACTGACCTTATCATATAGCAATTTATTTTATACTCTTAAACTCACCTTATTAACAGAAAAAAAGAAAGTTTCTCTGTCTGCCTTTGCCAAGCAGAGGGCTCAGATTCTAATTGCTACACAGTCAGGTGTTTCAGGGAGAGTTAAAGGAGGAGCAAAACCTGCTGACTTGTTTAGACGCACTGTGAAATGCTATGCAAAATTCCGAAGTAGCAAATGGAAATTTCATATTCTTAACCAGCTTCTTGTTTGCTGATGAAACCCCGAACCCCTACGAGCTATAGGTGTGCATGTATTAGAAGTAGATTAGTTTTGACTTTTTTGGGGGTGTAGGTAAGATCTGATTTTTAGAGCTTGCACATTCTTCGTCTGAAAGTAGTCTGTATTTTTATGAGATCAGGAACTTGACAGGAAGAGGGCTAAAAATCTGTCTTTTTTTTTTTCTCTTTCCAGATATGAGAAATGAGTGTTGGACGCAGAAGATTAAAGCTGCTGGGAATTCTGATGATGGTAAACATTTTTATTTATGTGATTGTGGAAGTCTCAAAAAGTGGCAGCCAAGAGAAGAATGCAAAAGGCCGTGTTATTATACCGCACAGCAAATTCTGGAGAAAATACACTCCTCACAAAGCTTATTGGAACAAACAGCAACAGAAGCTTGAACTTCTGTACAATCCTATTCTGACCTTGCTTTCCAATATGACTGTGGAAGAGAACTTAGCTTCTAACTCAAGCATTCTCAGTTCCTGTGAACCAGACCCGTGGGTGTCTTCAGAGGTTAGTGACTTTGCAAACTTGCCAGACAGATTCAAAGACTTCCTACTTTATTTGAGATGTAGAAATTACTCGTTATTAATGGATCAGCCAAACAAGTGCAAACACAAACCTTTTCTGCTGCTGGCTATTAAGTCACTTACACCCCATTTTGATAGAAGGCAAGCAATTAGGGAATCCTGGGGCAAGGAAATAAAATCGGGGGATGTGACAGTCAAAAGGGTTTTCTTACTTGGACAGACCCCACCAGAGGATAATTTTCCTGACCTTTCAGACATGATAAAATTTGAGAGTGAAACCCACCAAGACATTCTCCTCTGGAACTACAGAGACACTTTCTTCAATTTAACTCTGAAAGAGGTGCTGTTTCTGAAGTGGGTGAGCAGCAGTTGTGCAGATGTCCAGTTTATTTTTAAGGGTGATGATGATGTTTTTGTGAATACCCATCAGATCCTGGATTACTTGAAGAGCTTATCAAAGGACAAAGCCAAAGACTTATTTATAGGTGATGTGATCAAAGATGCTGGACCTCATAGAGAAAAAAAATTAAAGTACTACATCCCAGAAAGTGTTTATGAAGGTTCATATCCTCCGTATGCAGGAGGCGGTGGGTTTCTGTACTCTGGTGATCTGGCATTAAGACTGAATAATGCGTCTGACCAGGTACTCCTTTACCCTATTGATGATGTTTATACTGGAATGTGCCTTCAGAAGCTTGGGCTTGCTCCGGAAAAACACAAAGGCTTCAAAACGTTTGATATTGAAGAGAAATACAGAAATAACATATGTTCCTACACAAACTTGATGTTAGTACATAGTAGAAAACCTCAAGAAATGATTAAGATTTGGACACGCTTGCAAGATCCACACTTAAATTGTTAAACTAGTGTGCCTAGCCATCTTAAGTCCGAGTAACTTTCCGAGTTTGGCTCTAACTTTCTTGGTGGACCATTGGAGCTCTGTTTAGTAGTTTAATTCTCTCTGGAAACTTTTTTCCTGTACTTTTGAAAATGAGAATAATACTAAAATTGGAGGGGATGGCTTGAAGACTTGGTCCTGACTTTTCCACTGTCCTGGTGGTCATTATGTTTCAATATTTGTCTTAAATTAATTTTAAGAAGGACTTTAAGGATGTAAGTAGCTGATAGTGACTGGTTGGCTGTATTGGAAACGGGTTACCTACTACAGTGCATCTTTCATTAATTGTGATGGTGGAAGAACATTTTTCCTTGAGTAGTGTTTGTGTGTGGGTGTGTGGAAACCACTGTAAATTGAAAATTCACAAATTGGAGGAATGTAGTTTTACTTTAAGTGTGAAACACTCTTACGAGACTTTTAACTATTGAATTTTTTAATTTATAGTTTTCAGTCTTTTTGCACCCCAGAACAGTATTTTCTCTTTTACTTACGATCTTTTGTGCCTGTCTCTGAATAATTTACCCTTTTGTTAGATTATGCTTTTTTTTTTTCAAAAAAAAAAAGCATGATACTATTTGAAACACACCATAAAAGAGCTGAATATATAAGGAAAAGGAAGAAGAGATTTTGTTTGGGGCTGGGCTGTAGGTACAGTTAGGTCTGCCCCAAGCTTATGTGAGGTAAAGCTGACTCGTTGCTCATGTTACTTATGTGAAAAGCTACTCTGGTTAGTCCTTGTTTCTGTTCTGGCACTAAATGTGATCAGGTAGCTTGACTTGATGCAAATAACTGAAATTGCACGTTGCTTATGAGAGCATGGTTTGGATCTCTTACAAAGTGGTAGCAAGTCTAGAATTGTGCAGATCCTAAGAGTTTCAGATTTTGAAACAAACTTTGAAGTTGCATGATGTCTCATGTAGAATTAAACGTGTTCTCAAAACTCAGATCTTCTTCTATATTTCCACATCTTGCTTCTAAGAGTTATTCTAAATAGTGGTTGCTTCCTTTGTATATGTAGAAGTGCCTGTCTATTTATTGTTCAGATTGAAGACCAAAACATTTTCTTAAATATATTTTGTGTAACATTTTATTTGTATAGTGTTGTCACTCAGACATTTAAATAGAGCATGATATTTTAAATGTGAGATGTGTAACATGTTAAATAAAGCTAATTGTTATTTTTGAATTTGAAAAATAAAATGTGATTTAAATATTTCTTGTAATACTTCATTTGCGACAAAGTTGACTTGCAGAGCAGTTGCATTCTACTGCATGGCATTCACTAGCAATGCATTTCAGAAGTTCAGAAGCAAAAGGCTTTGTTTGGCTATGTTCTCTAATGCTTATGTGGCCAACTATCAAGAAAATGTTGTTGCAATTGTGCGTGGATTTGTTAGATGCTGTAATAGATGGACAAGTCTGGTAGAAGGAAGGGAACATGAAGTGCCCTAGGAAGACTAGTACGTACAGAAATAATTGCCTGCACAATAACACTGCTTGTGTAGTGGAAAGGAGTCAAGGTATGGATTGAATGACTGACACTTTAGTGTTGTTTGAAATATCTTGGCAGCTACAACTCTTTTGGCTTCTTCACCTGCTTGCTTGTTCCTTCGTTCACCTTGAAGACGAAATGTGGTGGGTTTTTTGTTTGGGGAGAGGTGAGATGGTGTGGTCTTCCACCTTTGCATTCTGTGGATATTCACGTTGACCCCAGAGATAGATGAAGACGGACTGTGCTCTGGTATTGTGCCAGGAGGTTTGGCCCCTGAGCCTTGTCATTCCTCATGAGAGATTACACCTTTCCGAAAGAGCTGCAGGTTTTGCTGTTCATATGTTGCTTCTTACTCTGTTCTTCCTAGCCATGCTAAGCAGCCTGTTTCTTTCTAAATGTTAGTGGGTTTTTTATCTTTAATTTGGACCAAGTGAAATAAAAGAACTTGTTACTGATGATAAGGAATGCCAGTAGAGATGTGATGAGGTGATGATGAGGAATGCAAGTAGAGGTGTGGTGTTAAGGATGTTCATGGACTAAAGAGAGAGGAAAAGGAGGGTACTGTGGGTAAACAAGAGTCTTGTGGGGGACAGAGGCAAGTGAGCACTAAACATGGTGATCAGTACCAGGGAAGGACCAAATAGAAACAAGAACAGGTTGCAGAAACAAAGGGACAGGAAGAGAGCCCAAGAATTAATTCCTATGAGTAAGATAGGGTGGAGTGCACATGTGATATTAACCTGTTAGTGAAATGGGTGCTATTGGTGGAGTGCCAGCTTTAATTATTTGCTTTATACTCGTCCTGTAACCATGAGATTAAAACAGGCCTCTTGTATAGGACACAACTGAGAATAAGGAAAAACAAGCCGAGTGGTACTTGCCAAGGAAAAATGCTGTGAGAAAGCATCTACTCACCTTCTGAAGTGACTAGAGAAGAGAAAGAGGGGAGAGAAAAAGAGTGTGCGGGTGGCCCCAGTGGGCTAAGTAGGCAGCAGGTACTAGAACAGCAATTGGGTGGACTAGTTTTGTTTACTGTGAGTGTGGAGAAGCACTGGTGACTGTACTGTCTGACTGGGTCGGCGGTCCACTCCCATGGAGAAAGAATTGTTTTGACAAAGAACTGGGAGTGTGTGGAGAAATAAGAAAAGGGGTGAGGAAACAGAATGCAACTGAAAGAAACAACACATGGTGGGAACGGGAATTTGGGACAGTTGGGAAAAAGAAGATCAAAAGTCTTTAAAAAGCGTGTACAGTATTATGTTGTAAGTGGGTTGGTTTGGTTGTGTTTGGTTTGGGGGTTTTTTGGTGCTGGTTTCTGGTTTTTGGAGCATTGCTTGGGTACTAGGTATTTTAAATAAAAAGTGAAAGTAACATAATTAAATCAGGATTTTTTTTTAATATGAAGTAAATTTAGAGTTGAAGAAACAATGAGCAAAAGCTGGTCACCACTACAAAATAAATACTATATATATGAATGACTTGTTTGGAATTAGTGAAAAGTGATCTGAGAAATGTAGGGAGCTAAAGATGGATTCTTCTTTTTTCTTAAGTTTAAGGGCAAGGAAAGAATCTACTAAAATGAAAGCATGGGAAAACTTGACTACAATGAGAATAATGGGAATAATGGGATTTGAAAGAGGTGGTGTTTAGATGAGACAGTTGCATGTGGATGCAGTCTTTATTTCTTTTCCTTCCCTGAATACAGGAGGGAAAATGAAGTGCTGCTGTGGTTGAATGACATCACATCAGGGTAAGCCATTAGAATCCATTAGCTTCTTTGTATAAAGGCTCAGGCCTTTGCTTCTGAATCCAGTTGGGAGGAGGAAATACAGGGTTTTGGATAAGGAAGGTAAATGAGCTGTAATCAATGCACAAATTACAATGTTTATCTTCTAGAGGATGGAGTCCCTTTTTTTCTAAATAATTTTTTTCTGCCGGTTGGCTCCTTGGACTGAATGCACTTACAGTTGGATCCCTTCACCCCTGCTCAACATTTTTATTTTGTTATGTAGGCTTGAGTGAAATGTGGCACTTGACAGGACTGGTGGTAAGAGAATCCCTGATAATCCTTTCTGCTTTTTGGTGCTGGAAGAACTGAAAGCCAAACTTCAAAACGAGTTTTGGCTGGAGAATACAAGAGAGGTGCAGACTCGAACTTAGTAAAACTTTTGCATTAGATATGCAATTCAACAGGGATCTGCATGCAAGTAATTCTTACTTTTGGGCTTTGATGTGATGAGCAATCCAGCTCTTACCTGGTGCTGCTGTTGTGCCGGATAGTTTACAGTAAGCAGTTTACTTCCTGAAATCTGCCCTCCTTTTGCTTCTGGCTTATTGCATCTCGTATGCGTAAGATTTCCACTGTAGCTGCGTCTGCCCGAGGGCACCAATCCAAATGAGTTTGTGTCTACACTGCACTATTTCTTTCTCACAGAGTAATCATGAAACCAACTTAGCAAGCAAATAGGGAGGGGAGAGCTGCTTAATGGATCCCTCTAACAGGCAATAATGCACGGAGGTGGTCTGAAAGGAAGAATGTCCCTTGGCGTGAGCACAAAACATCACTCTGAATTCTCTTCAGCCTCTTCCTCTAACTTCTTAAAGCTGTTGCATTCTTTCTTGCTAGATGAAGATGAGAACAGGAGTGGGAGTGAGAACTTAGTCAAGCAAATACAGTTCTGGAAGCCAAGTTCTGGCCAGCAAGACCCATGCTATGCAGAGGCATCTGCTAGAGGTTTTCCTAAGAAGGAAGACTGAATAAAGACAGGGTTGGAAAGAGGCAGTCTCGATTTTAACATCTCAGGAACATTTTGACATCTTGTTTTCCTGTAGCTCCGCATCATCTTGCAAACTGTATGCTGAGAGATGTAAGCAAATTTTCGTAATGTCAGGAGTGATGAAATACTGAGCAGGTCAGTTTTTCTTTTCTTCTGTTGTGCTCAGATCAGGCCTTTGGTTGCTAATCGCAGTTTATAGTATTTGTGTTGGCCCAGCCCGCTCAAAGTAGTGTTTAAACAAGCAGCTCTGGCTAGACTGCTGAGGGGTGGCTGAACTGCGCCTCATGGAGTTTGCATGCCAGCTTTTGCAAAAGATTTACAGTCTGTTTTCATTTGTCAGTGAAAACATTTGTACCCTGTCTGACATCTGACTGAACAAGGTGCGCTGGACATGAGCTCATCTTGGTGTGTCAGGGTCTGTTAACATTTACATAAGTACAGAACAAATGCCTGTCATTTCAATTTTTGCTCTGTTTTCCGTATTTGTGTATTGTTGCAGTTGTTTGTTTAGTTTTTTTTAATTGCCCTCCAGCTGAAGGACTTCAGACCACGAGTTACGTGTTCATAACCCAGCACCCTTCCCTGCTGCTGGGGCTGGAGCACTTGGCAGCATGCAGCATCTTTGCTCTCTGAAGAACTGCGGAAGGAGGCCTCAGAACTTGTCCATGTAACTTGTCCATTATAGCCTCAATTTTCTGTTCAGGTCAGCGGTAGCATGTCTGATACGTGGTATGATCGCAGAAGCCTGGCAAGTGTCGCTTAGTTCTGGCTGCAGTGTCTTGGGATGTCAGTTTTGTGGTGGCTCAAAGGGAATTCAGTCAGCCCTAAAAGACAATGAAGAGATGGGATCTCTGCTTTTGGGGTCTCTCCTGTTGCTGTTGGTTGAGTGCTGTAAAGTTACTAATCTGAGGTCAGGCCCTTCTCTCTCTCTCTTACCCTGCTGTCTTCTGAGAGGGGGGATTCATGAATACCTACTGAATTTCCTGTCAAAGATTTATCAAGATAGAAACGTGCACGATCTCAAACTTTATAGAGGGAAAATTCCAAATCAGTCCTCTAGGCTCATTGACTTCCCTCTGCTTGTCCGACTAGTGGCCTATGTCATTCCCTGTCTTTGCT